GATCTATATGAGGAGAAGAGGAAAGACATCACTGATGCCACTGAATACAACAGAGTCAACATTCTGGTGCCTTTTGACGCCAACAGCACCCTGATAACATGTGGGGCTTTTAAAGATGGATATTGTGAAGTTCTTGATATAAATGACATTACAAACAGTATTTACTATGAAAGTAATATATTGATAGGACCGCGACAGGGTGAGAAATCTGTTGCCTTCATAGCCGGTACAAGCAGCAGTACGTACCTTTTGGTTGGGAAAAAAGACGACGATGCAAAAGCTCAAGATACCAGGTATTCTGTTGTTAGCTTGTGGAACACTTTACAGTCTCAAGCAGGTGGGATTTTCTCTATATTTGCGGAAGGATCAGATACCATCATTCAGAGCACTGTGAGAGATGTGGAGTTTGTTGGCGGATTCCAGAGAGTTTCACCCTCAGAATCCTACTTATTTCTCAACGTAAAGACTGGCTCAGAGAGGAAAGTGCTCGTCCTGTGGATGAACAGCTCTAAAGGAAAAAAGAGAGAAATCATCAAATCCCTACAGGCTGCAACGATACGATGCTGCAGTGATAAAGCTCGTCCAGTGCTCGTCGCCTGCACTGTTATTCCCTCAGTGAACAGCGTTATTTGGGCAGGTGTGTTCAGTGCGCAGAATCAGCAGGATCCGGAGAACAGCGCGCTGGCTCTGTACGACATCAGGAGCATTAAAGGCCGAGTGAAGGGCTTCTGCGCTTATGGTGAAAACCCATGTGGTTCAGAGGTTGGAAATTGCATTCATGTGTTTAATATACACGCTTTTTAAAAATAAGAACAACATTTTACTATATAGGCCTAAAGATAAAATAACCTGAATCTGTTGCATGATTAAACGTAATTTAACTAAAGTCATATAAAGTTTCAGTTTGTTGTTTGCAGGGTGTCCGCGGGTCCTTAAAAAGTCTTAAAATGTCTTAAATAACGTTTTCCTAATATAAGGCCTTAAAAAGTCTTAAAATGTCTTAAATTCGGATTCGATGGGTCTTAAATATTTTTGGTCTCATTACAGCTAAAATATCTTCAGTCTGACGGACCTAATGACTTTACAATCATTGGACAGACCGAAGATTTCTTCTTCCCGCGGTAAGTTACTGCGTCATCACAGAGAATTGCAGTAAGTTAGCAGAATACAGAATACAAGCTCGCGCTGAGGCTCACTCTGTTTGTCTCGAGACTTCAGAACAAATGAGCGTGACAGCA